CTACTGTAGAAGTGCCACTGAGGGAGCTTCAGGAAGGCTGTACCTTTTGGATGAGCGTCACCTTACCTGGGCGCTGAAATCATTCAAGCCATTCAAGTCCCCGGGTCCTGATGGCATCATATCGGCGCAACTACAGCGTACGGTTAAGGTGTCATGTAGCTGGCTGGCCCCCATCTACGCGAACTGTGTTAGGTTGGGCCACGTCCCGAAGGCCTGGAGGCAGGTTAAGGTTACGTTTATTCCAAAGGCCGGTAAAAGCTCTGATGTCGGTGCAAAAGATTTCAGACCATGGGGGGCACCCTTGCCCCGCTCACATCGGAATGGGATCGAGTTGGTTCTCCGCTAACGTCTTGCATTCTGGCTCTGGACCAATGGACCTCGCATGCGCTCAGCAGACGCTCATCGACGACCAACTCCTGCGCGACTGCGCGATCCTTCTGGCCGAGAGTGGATCGCAGGAGGTCGGGGGATCTTCTCGCCTTGAACAAAGTTCACCTCGCCGCCATGGTAGGAGTTCTCACTGGACATCTCGGCAATCACACTTTTGGCGGACCAGAAGATTTGGCCGAAACGGATATTGGCCGTCTCAACAAGCTTGTCATAGGCACAAAGCGCTCTGTCGACATGTAAGGGTCTATTGATCCAGCTCATAGGAGTTTTGGGTACCACAACGGACCGGCGTTTAAGCTGTCCAAGTGTGATCCTTCTTAGGATCGACCCTCTAACCTAACCTAATCTAACCTAAAGCTATTTGCGATGATTAACATTCGTTATTGTTCTCAAATCCCGAAATATAAAAGGCAACCCTCGTAATAGCTATTATTTACAATTAATATTTTTCAAATTATTCGGATTGTTCTATTTCAGCAACATTCGTGAGGAATACTCTAGTATACGAATTTATCTTTTCCTATATTTTTATTACATTTATCATTAATTCACACTGAATGTTGATAACAATTCAAATATGTTTATGCTGTTTACTTTCGATGTTTATCGCGACTTACTCAACAGAAGAAGTGTTAAGTCATAAAAAAAATGGAGAAAAAATTCTAAACAATGCGTACGCCGTCATTTGTTTCATAATTTTATCATTTACCATTTTACTATTAATGAATATTAGAGCAATTCATATATACCTACATATGGTACACAAGTATTAAATACATTATTTTAAAGGCACTGATTTTGATAAGTCAAATGAATCTTTAGCACTGACAAGCAGGTTATTAGGTGTGGTAGGAATAGTTAGTTTTTAAAAGTGAATTTAGGGTTGGTGGTTAGGTTAGATTCGGCGTTTTAACTGTTTAGGTGTTGACTTTAAAGAGGGGTTTCTGCTCTCTCAAGTCAGCTAGCTGATGCTTTCAGTGACTGTTTACATAAGAAGATATTCACAGCAGATATTTTGAAAAGTTCGGATCGTTTTTCTGAGGCAGAATTTCTGGGAAATGGTGTGGATAGTTCGTTCATGAAAATTTGTATTACGATTTCTCTTTTGTTTCAAAACTTCGTTGCGCCTTACTATCGGCTATGACTTCTTTATTGTCGCTAAATGTCTTTCCGGCGAGCAGTTTCAAGGGGTCATTGGGGGTCTAATACGGAAATATGATGGTAGCAGTTTCAAGTCCAATTCATGAAATTTTGCTATCGCTTTCATTGATTTTTTCTTTTTATTAAAATGGTACCATTTCGTCAAAGGTTCTAATAATGCTTTATGAAATTCGTTGTTGATGAAACTTCTCTTCTTTAGATAGTCTTTTGAAAAACAATTTTATATGAACGATGTGATCAACATGTTCCTTTGAAATCTTTATCCCTGGAAGAAGAACTAAGTCCAGTCAAACGAACAAAACTAACGTATTGATAGAGATTAAGGAAATTAACCTTGAACTGGCAGAAAGGAAACTTGCAACTTAATGTGGAAAACAAAAGTGAGAGCTTGGTACTCTCCTCTCGATCACAGGGATAATGGTAGCTGAAGGTATGTGGTTTGGTTCGGAATTATGCAGTCTTTACTTCCAAACTTTCTTTTGGGGTAAGCTAATTGCTCTCTTATACAAGAAGAAATTAGGCCCTCTGCTACATTTACTAAAAACTACTAATTCGGCTGGAGTGTGTTGACCAAATTTTCAAGGTCATATGGCAAATTTTTGTGTTGTTATTAAACCAGATTTTGGTTAAGAAATCCGCTAAAATATGTAAATGAAAATAGATGTGTATATGCTCGTATTCGACTGCACGAATCCAAAGAAAATATGTGCATCATGTGTAAATGTACAATATATTTTATACATATGTAAGTATGTGGCTTATCTAATATGTTAGCTATTTGTTTACATTTCTCATGACTTAATGTGTTTACCATTAATTCAAATTTTGACTATTTCATTTTATATGTTGTACATACTGTGCTGATTTTCCGATTTTTTTATAGATTTTTATTTGCTGTTTTTAACCCGAATATTTTGCTTTACCGCGCCAATTGCAACTAGAAATGAGAGATGCTGAATAAAAAATGGAACCTGAATATGTAGCCGACATTCTTATGTACTTGTATTCGCCACAATATTGTCTCCTCAGTGGCCATCTAAATTACCATTTTAGAAATATTTTATGCCATTATAACAGAAAGAATACACAACTACTCACATGTGCTTATTTAGATCAGCTGGTTTTAAACAAACTTAAAATGGAAAAATCTCTTAAGAATCACACTGACATTTGCAAATACAATTCTAATCAAGAACGACAGAATCGTCTCGTTATTAGACTTTTGAAATGCATTTTCTTTAATTTTTTCTTTAATATTACTACGCAGGTTTGACAGTTCGTTTCTTTTTTGATGCAGTGCAAAATATGAGATTGGTGAGAGAATAATATCTGTGAGTTTGTAGTTTTTGTTAAAAAATTTACATTTTAAAACTCTCTGAATTACTCCAATTAAAGTTATTTGAGTATTTTGGGATGGTTACAGTCATCTAGCATAATAGTTTACGTAAGTATTTACTTCGCAACGTGAATTTGCCTTTAGAAATGTGTTTTTGAACTAAAGCACTGTCTAAATTGCACAAATCTATCAGCCATCCGTTAACAAATAGCTTAAAACTTTTCAAATAAGATAAACGATTCGATATGGTTAAAGAATTTATAAAAACGCTATGTATCAAGCATATAAATATAAAAGTGTATAGATAAACATGCAAATGTTTTGAACGATTACAAATTGGGAATAATCAAATTATCAGTGATCCCACGGGGGGACACCGCGGTGTTTAAAAATTATTTTTATTTAATTAGTACGAGTAATAAACGCGTTTGTGGTTAAAGACCATCATATCATAACACTATTTTTTTATATTTTTGTTTTTTATTAAACATAGCTTTGATCTACTTTTTTTAATGGTATTCAAAACAAAAACAGAAACTTTTGGTTTCGATTGCGATTGCATCCAAGACCTCTTATTTAGTGTATTCGTTTTGTAAGAAAAAATCTACAAAAATGGCGGACAGCTGTCAAGAAAAACTAATGTGAACGCACTTGATTTGTAAGAATCGAACGAATTTCGAGTTAAATATGAATGTAGTATATTTATTTGTAAATTTACAAGCTTCTCAAGACTGAACGGCGTGTTTGTCCAAGTGGGTAAACATGTCCAACAATTGTAATAAGCAAATAATATATATATGTTCTTGTACCTTATACATATGTATAATACATTATATTTTAAGACAAACTTGTGTTTTTCTTTTGAATTTTATAGCTCAATGAAAAAACAGCTCAATGAAAAAAGCTTTGCAATTTAAAATGATGTTTATTCATTGAGTTATAAGATTCAAAAGATAAAAACAAAATTGCCTTAAAATACTCAAACTTCAACCATTAATATTTTTTGAACGGTTAAGTTTATGAAACAACCATAAGAGACCATTTTGTATCTTTCTATCCGATCTAAAAAAAAGGTAGATATCGGTAAAGCGGAGGACCATCCCGTTACAATTAAGAGCTGATACTTGGAGAGCTTTTATAAGTGGTGCCTACAAACAAATTTTTTGGAGAATTAACCGAAAAAAAGCATTAGTTTTTTTTACCAAACTTAATATACACACATATATATTTATAAAGATGTTAAATTTTAACACTTGTACTACGTTATAATTTCGGGGATTTCCAAGCAGCTGAGTGACTCACTCGTGCTCTCAGACATTTCGATATAATTTCTTGTGGCTTTAACATGACAATTATTTGATAAAGTGGCCCTTCGTTACACTTTTTAGACTTTATAGATCTTAGTTGTCAAGCGTTAAGTAAATGAGATAAATAATGAGAGAAAATAGAATAAAATAAAACAAAATGAAACAAAAAGCTGACTCGGCACCAAAAATTCGTTTAAACTTTTTAATACTGCACAAAACTTAGGAACATTTAATACTTATCTTGCAACTCACTTACTTAAACTTAAATCACTAAAAATTGTATTAAATCAGTAAAAAAAAATCAATTAAACTTGAAGAATTTATAAAATAAAAACACAAAAGTTCACAGCCAAAAAATTACAGCTTAAGAGCTTGAAGTGTTGCCACCTTTTCGTAAACAACCCAGTGGCGTCTGACAAATTCACAACACAAGCGAAGCAACACAACATAACAAAAATACAAAGCAAAATATGTGGAGAAATCAAAACAAAATACGCGCAAGGCAGGGCTCGGCCACCTTGTGGCTTCTTACACCCGCGTCAAGGTTCACTTCACGTGCTCCGCTCGACGTCAAGACGAGCGGGTCCAAACTTGTTTAGCGCGCGCGAAACTTAACACAACAAACAACCGTCAGCAGCACAAAGCAAGGGAACGGACTAACAGCGGCAATCACAAATACAATTTTTGTTAGTATGATCTGAGATAGCGACAACGGCAGACGGTAGGCGGTTTATTTTTAGATGTGTGGCTCCATGGACATCGCGGAGCAAACGCATCCGTCGCAGCGCGCAACACTGTTCACCTACCGATTAGGTGGATGCTCGATCGAAATGCGGCGACCAGCGCATTGAATATGCAAGGAGTAGATGGAAAGAAATATGAATCCGGCGGCTAACGTGGATGAGAAGTGCGCTCGTACACTCGGTTGCCTATAATGTTTGCAACAATTAACTGTGTCGCTAGCGGATTCAACCAGCTAACTTAAGTATTAATTTTATTTTATTCAGATGATCAGAGGACCGCGGCGTCGGCTGAGAGCGACGTACGCGTACAAAGCAACAAAAGCATTCCAATCAAAACAAACAAAGACGAACAACAGACGTGCCGAATGCGAATAAACGACCCGCAATCAGAGGCAGGGAAGTACTGGAATGAGAATTGCTCAAGTGAACTCAAGTGGTTAGATAAGCGACGAAGACGCGCGGTTTGTCGCGATGCATGCGCGCGGTGCAATTGCCAAGCGTTCGATGGCGTTATTAGGGGAGCGGCGGCTCTTAGGTGGTGACACTGCCAAGCGTAAGAAATCGTAAATAAAATAAACAAAAAACGAAATGAGATCAAATCTATGGTGCGCCATTCAATGTCGATCAGTGGGGAAGGAGGGCATTAGTGCGAGTACGCGCTGTTTTTTTATATTTGTGTCTAGAACATTTAAGTTTTTGCTTTGCTCTTTATCACTGTGGCATTTGCCCTTTGCGTCACTATTTTGATGAAATACTCAAGAACAGTGATTACAGGCCATTAAGTCAGATGGCTTGAAGGTTCAAATTCAATGAAGTGACACACTAACATTTATATAATAGTATGAATGTATGTTACCAACTAACTGATCTCAATATTAATGTGTAACACTGTTTTTCATATCAAGATATGTATACATATATAAGTATGTAAGTGTGTATTTGTATGTATGTGTAGTTATCATTAACACAAATATTTACTCTTTTATATACACACACATATCTACGGGATACATTATATACATATGTACACTAGGGTGGATCAAAAACGAATTTTTTTGGCTTTGTACTCTAAAAAATTAGTTGACATATACCTTTAAGAAAGGCTCTCCAAATATGAGCGGGAAGATCCTCCACTTAACGGTTTTCTATTTTGTTCTTATTATCAGAGAGAAAAAAGAAAAATTCATATCTCGCTTCTAACTGCTTGAAAAAATATCTCGTTTCATAGATTTTGTGGGAAATTGAATGCTCTAAAATATAGGCTCTTACGGGTTTTTCGTAAACTTAACCGTTACGATTGAAATTTGAGTATTTTAAAGTAAATTTGTTGTTTCTTGTGAATTTATAACTTAATGTAAAACCATCATTTTAAATTGCGAAGTTCATAGACTTGTAAGTAATTTACTGCTCCATAAAAATTGAATATTTTAAAGCAAAATTTTTTTTTGTACGAAATTGAATGATATTAGTCGAACATTTGTACCTACTTTACATTAATATGTAAATTTCATATTTAAGCCCGTGATTGTGCGTGTGTGTTGGAGTGAATTTCATCTTTCCACATTCATATTTTTGAAATGTTCTAAAAATAATTTTTAAATAACATATTCTTAAACGAAAAGCAGAGGCGTAGTAAGTAAAGTAAAAAAAAGTCTAGATGCCAGGAAATTAAATATTGCTAAAAAACTGAATTGCTAGCAATATTGTCAACGGTTAGCAATTGATGTCTAAATACATTTCCTGTCATACATTGCTAGCAATGAACTGTCAGTATGGTGGTTTCAGAGTTGTTTTCATTTGCACACAAATTTTGAAGAGACAACATGTGCATGCATTGCTTCGGTGGTATGATGCCAGCAAAGATAAAATGCCATTGTTTTGTGATTTGTTGCTGCAATTTAGCAAAGTAATATTCAAAACATAAATTTTAATTAAAAATGGAACATAGTAATAAAATATATACATACGTATGTACATGTATGGTTAATATTTTAATTATAATTGTTAGCATATGTAATGTAATGTATCAATCATCATATTAAATGAATGAATTATTTAAGTCTAAAAATATAGAATCTTAATTTTCCAAAATATATATAATGTATACAAATTTTTTGTCATCCTCTTAAAATTTTTAAACGGTTCAAGAGCTCATACATACGCTATAACAGCTCGAACATGCCTACCCGACGCCATTTCGAGAAGGAATATTTCATGATAGCAAATGCCTACAAAATAACTTTGCCAACGTCAATGACAATGTCCCATGGTTAGCATTACCTGTGGATATGCGACATATAAGGGGGTATAGATGTACAGCCTGCTTCTTTGACAAGTTAATAATGGGGAAGTCGATGGATGTGTGTGTTGGAGTAAATTTAATTCTCTCCACATTCATATTTTTAAAATGTCCTAAAAAAATTTGTAAAATAATTTATTCTTGAACGAAAAGCAGAGGCGTAGTAAGTTACGGTTTATGACTCGTTTCTGCTTCAAGTGGTGAGTCTGTGAAGAGCATGATCGATAAAAATTTTTGATCCTTACTTACTAAAGCATTAAACGAACGTTCACCACTTGAAGTAGAAACGGGTAAAGTGCAAAATATTTTCAAAGCGATGCAAATATTTGGGAGAGGTCTTCCTAATTTTCGAGTATTGGACAACTAATTAGATACGTAATCAACGGAACACATTTTTGCGAAATTTTTTACAGCTGCGTTGAGTTCATCTTTCTTCTTATCATGGAACTGCCATAGAAATGAGAACGATTCGTTAATGTCACTCACTTCGGCGAATCTTCCCTTCACTCAAATTTGCTCATTTATTTTAAAATTCCATCAACGTCTAGACGAGTTTCTGCCGTAAGGTTAAGTTTTGTAATTTATTTGAAATCGTTTATCAATCCGGGAAGATTTTTCGCAAGTGGCTTGATGGCATCCATTCTAGCAGACCACCTCGTATTAAAAAGACAGTGAAGTGAATTGGATGTTTTGAATTTCAGAATTTCCCAAAGTTGTGTGCTACTACTGAAAATATTGAAAAATTTTTGAACTACACAAAAAAAGTTAATGCTCGAGGACAGCATTCAGCTGAGTCAACTCCAACCAAATTCAGAGTGTGGGCACCAAGGGCGCAATAGCTACATTCTTATTTAGACGTTGGATGTGATTTTACCCTCCTTCATTTTTGGCGCTCATATTACTAGGATTATAGTAGCCCTGTCCAAAACAATCTTCCAAAGGAATGTTGCAATTTTCCAATGTTTTGCAAATTAAAGCGGCAATTGCTTTACCGGTTTTTTGCGACAATCTACATAAGCGAGAAAACGTTCCTCTATGTCGTAGACTTTTTTCTCAGCATCGAGATGGAGATAACGTAAACTAAATGTAGTTTGCTACCAATGGCTGGAATCAGGTGCTGCATCAACAATTATGGAGTAACATTTTGCCTATTTTTCTTCTTCCAATATGAAGGACGAGCACAAAGTTCAATAAATTCATTCTGTATTTGCTCAGACAGGTAATGGAAACACTGATGTGAATCTTGAGAAGCCCTAAATCTTTCTAAATGTTGACTAAAGATTGGATCATAGCGACTAAGCAATTCCGAAAATTCCAAAAAAATTTACGTTGTTCGGTTGCCTAATTAAATTGCTTTCTCCTCGTAACGCTAATCCTCTCCCCTAAATTTTCGAGAACTCCAGGCCCAGGGATACATACATACATATAATATATCTCGATTAGTTTTAGGTGATACATACAACGGTTTGGTGAACAAAACTAGTATACTCTGTAGCAACATGTTGCACTAGTTTTTTTCGATGACGGTTCGTTAAATTCCATACGGGCCATATGGGTATCAAAGCTATTGAAAGTAATCGACGTTTAAGGGGAGAGCTAGGACGAAAACATGAAAAATCTACAAATTGACCGCAAATAGGGTTGCAAAAGCTCTATTTATCAGGATCTCTAGAACGTTTCGTTTTACATGTTGACGAGTCCCTTTAAGAACCTGATTAATCACCATGAGCCAAATCTCAGATAATATCGGAGGAAAAAGGGTCGATGGCTAACATTTGTGGCACCTATTGATTAGATGCATTCAATTGTCAATTGTCGTAAATGATCGGAAAGTGAAGGTCGAAAGTTAAATTCTTATTTTTTTTTTCAAATTTTAAATTTTATGTACTAAAGGTAGAAAATAACACACGATCAAAGTTCACTAAAAAGTTAATTTTCATCGAAGGAAATACCTAATACGATAAAAATTCACTCTATCTGACTTTAAACATATATAGAAAATTTAATGAATCTTTATTCCTAATATAAAACAGCAGGAAATCGCTTAATGCATTTTGAACAATCGCGGATTAACGTTCTAAGACTTGTTATCAGTTATAGTTTTAACATTTAGATACTTTTTTCGATTACGAAGCAATGTCAAAAAATTTTGAGATAAATTACGTACATACCTTAACCACTTGAATGTGGTGATAAGAAGGAACACCACTTTTTCAAAGTTTCATAACGACTTAATATAACATAGCAAATTAATAATCAGCTTTTACACTGGCAATCACGTGCGATCGCTATTGTTGAGGATAGAGGAAGATTCAGGCTCGTTAAAAACCAAACCGAAAGCGACATCTTTATGCACAATTTGCTAACTCAGCAGTAGGCTACTGGTATCTAAACATTGAACCCATGTGAAAAATTTCTAAGCCCGTGATTGTGCGTGTGTGTTGGAGTGAATTTCATCTTTCCACATTCATATTTTTGAAATGTTCTAAAAATAATTTTTAAATAACATATTCTTAAACGAAAAGCAGAGGCGTAGTAAGTAAAGTAAAAAAAAGTCTAGATGCCAGGAAATTAAATATTGCTAAAAAACTGAATTGCTAGCAATATTGTCAACGGTTAGCAATTGATGTCTAAATACATTTCCTGTCATACATTGCTAGCAATGAACTGTCAGTATGGTGGTTTCAGAGTTGTTTTCATTTGCACACAAATTTTGAAGAGACAACATGTGCATGCATTGCTTCGGTGGTATGATGCCAGCAAAGATAAAATGCCATTGTTTTGTGATTTGTTGCTGCAATTTAGCAAAGTAATATTCAAAACATAAATTTTAATTAAAAATGGAACATAGTAATAAAATATATACATACGTATGTACATGTATGGTTAATATTTTAATTATAATTGTTAGCATATGTAATGTAATGTATCAATCATCATATTAAATGAATGAATTATTTAAGTCTAAAAATATAGAATCTTAATTTTCCAAAATATATATAATGTATACAAATTTTTTGTCATCCTCTTAAAATTTTTAAACGGTTCAAGAGCTCATACATACGCTATAACAGCTCGAACATGCCTACCCGACGCCATTTCGAGAAGGAATATTTCATGATAGCAAATGCCTACAAAATAACTTTGCCAACGTCAATGACAATGTCCCATGGTTAGCATTACCTGTGGATATGCGACATATAAGGGGGTATAGATGTACAGCCTGCTTCTTTGACAAGTTAATAATGGGGAAGTCGATGGATGTGTGTGTTGGAGTAAATTTAATTCTCTCCACATTCATATTTTTAAAATGTCCTAAAAAAATTTGTAAAATAATTTATTCTTGAACGAAAAGCAGAGGCGTAGTAAGTTACGGTTTATGACTCGTTTCTGCTTCAAGTGGTGAGTCTGTGAAGAGCATGATCGATAAAAATTTTTGATCCTTACTTACTAAAGCATTAAACGAACGTTCACCACTTGAAGTAGAAACGGGTAAAGTGCAAAATATTTTCAAAGCGATGCAAATATTTGGGAGAGGTCTTCCTAATTTTCGAGTATTGGACAACTAATTAGATACGTAATCAACGGAACACATTTTTGCGAAATTTTTTACAGCTGCGTTGAGTTCATCTTTCTTCTTATCATGGAACTGCCATAGAAATGAGAACGATTCGTTAATGTCACTCACTTCGGCGAATCTTCCCTTCACTCAAATTTGCTCATTTATTTTAAAATTCCATCAACGTCTAGACGAGTTTCTGCCGTAAGGTTAAGTTTTGTAATTTATTTGAAATCGTTTATCAATCCGGGAAGATTTTTCGCAAGTGGCTTGATGGCATCCATTCTAGCAGACCACCTCGTATTAAAAAGACAGTGAAGTGAATTGGATGTTTTGAATTTCAGAATTTCCCAAAGTTGTGTGCTACTACTGAAAATATTGAAAAATTTTTGAACTACACAAAAAAAGTTAATGCTCGAGGACAGCATTCAGCTGAGTCAACTCCAACCAAATTCAGAGTGTGGGCACCAAGGGCGCAATAGCTACATTCTTATTTAGACGTTGGATGTGATTTTACCCTCCTTCATTTTTGGCGCTCATATTACTAGGATTATAGTAGCCCTGTCCAAAACAATCTTCCAAAGGAATGTTGCAATTTTCCAATGTTTTGCAAATTAAAGCGGCAATTGCTTTACCGGTTTTTTGCGACAATCTACATAAGCGAGAAAACGTTCCTCTATGTCGTAGACTTTTTTCTCAGCATCGAGATGGAGATAACGTAAACTAAATGTAGTTTGCTACCAATGGCTGGAATCAGGTGCTGCATCAACAATTATGGAGTAACATTTTGCCTATTTTTCTTCTTCCAATATGAAGGACGAGCACAAAGTTCAATAAATTCATTCTGTATTTGCTCAGACAGGTAATGGAAACACTGATGTGAATCTTGAGAAGCCCTAAATCTTTCTAAATGTTGACTAAAGATTGGATCATAGCGACTAAGCAATTCCGAAAATTCCAAAAAAATTTACGTTGTTCGGTTGCCTAATTAAATTGCTTTCTCCTCGTAACGCTAATCCTCTCCCCTAAATTTTCGAGAACTCCAGGCCCAGGGATACATACATACATATAATATATCTCGATTAGTTTTAGGTGATACATACAACGGTTTGGTGAACAAAACTAGTATACTCTGTAGCAACATGTTGCACTAGTTTTTTTCGATGACGGTTCG